ATGCTATCGGGGTGCCTATTATACTACTTGAAAACTAACGAGGTGAGCTGCTGTGCTCCTTCGTGGAGGGCTAGAAGTGAGTGCTAGGATACTACTATTGGGTCGGCGGACAGCAGCAACATCGTCCTACATGGCCTGGCGATACCGCAGCAGTTATGCATCATATCTAACATCAACGACAAAGTGTTGAAATTGTCGGTACCGGCAAGTGCTCTTGAGGCTGGAGGAAGGCTCATCATTAACGGCAAGGTATCATGTGGTGTAGAGAAGCGTTTCCCTGTTTGTGTATGCGTCTGTGTCAGGCTGTAGGAGTCGGTGATCCTCCACATGAGTTGAAGCACCTCGATAGAGTTGTCTTTGGTCGCGCCCATATGATGCGTATAATGATACCTAAGCTGGCTGATACGACAGTCCAACAGGTTGGCTCCTCGAGACGTCGATCGTCGGTGAGTATTACAGCTTGTGTCGGACGTAGCAGTGGGTCTGTGTAGCTCATGCGGCCGCCAGTGGTGGAGGAGAAGGAGCATGAGGAGTATGCAGCTGACTTGGCCACCTTCGACGAGTCCAGCGAGGCCTATCAGGTGGTCTCTAACACTGCTCTGTGGTCGTATATTGGCTCAGGAGCTTCGTCACTACATCGAGGAGCTGCGGTTGAAGCTCTCGTCGGAGAAACTGGAGAAATTCCTTCAGGTGGGCGCGTGTGTATAGATGGGCGAAGTCGCGGACTGTTGTTGTTAGGACCAGTGTTGGAATATACGTTCGCTTTCCTCAGCCACATACAGGAGTTTGCTCAGTCATTTTCATACAAATTTGGGTGGAGTTGTAGAGAAATGAATAAGAATTTCCTCAGAATTTTCACGAAAGCCACTCACACGTGCAGTTGACCATGTGCATATTTCCTCCCACACAGACTGCGAGTGGTGCAACGACGCTTACAGCGCAGGTTGATAATCATTGAATATAAACATTACATCATATATAAGTTATATTTCATTTATTATTATTTTCATATTTTCTCGATTTAATATTGCGGAATATTTGATAATATTGTTTAATAATTTCATAGCATAAACTTTGAAGTACGTAAACCATGAAAAACCTCAACGCTGCCCGTACATATGAGGCTGTGTCCACGAGCGACGTCTCCATCAGCGTCCCATGAGAGCTATCTTGTTGATAGGTTTTAAAGGCAGCTTGCCCTTTGATCGACGAGGCCAACGACCTCTCGACAGAACTACGACCAAATCGGCATTTCAAGTAGTGGCACTGATGACAAAATGGGGGGGTTGGTGATTTCCTTGGTAGATTCGAAGCGGAGTTGATCTGGGATGTCTTCAACTCTGAGGACGAAGATCTGATAGTTATAAGATTGATGGAATACACGAAGGCTCCAGAAGATGGTGGGGCTGATGATAAGTTCCGCTCGAAAGTACGTCCTCACCTCCAGTGTGTTGGGGTCTAGGCGTAGTGATGTAGGTTTTGTATTACTGGGGTTTGAATAAGTTCATAGGGCGCCTTGAGCTTATGAGAGATCTTTATCATCAAGTTAGCATGGGGTACTTGAAAAAAGAAGGTGAGTTGTCTTTGGGGGGAAGGGTGTCGTTCGAAATAAGGGAGTTTCACCAGTTTTACGTGAAGTGGCGTAATACTGCATGTGAAATATACGGCGTATATGTTTTCGCGACCGATAACATAATTGTTTTCCGCGAAGTGAGATGTGAAATTTCTTGTCCACTAGTGTTTTTCGTGTCACCGGTGAAAGTCCGAGGAAAGGGTTCTTGGTACGTGTGTTGCCTCAGCGGTGCTGTCGGGAGAGTATTTCGAGACTAGTGAAGGAAAAGTACATGACCCATGGAGTGAGCCTAGTATTGCCGACATACAGTAGGGATAGTATCCACTGTTGCTATCGACTTGGACACTTTAGAGCCCAGCAGGAGTTTTCGAGTCGCCTCTCGCAGAAGCGAGATATCGATAAACTGCAGACAGCGATGGCTTCGGTCGTCAAAGCGGATGCTACGCAAACGGGGAGGAGGCAAACTCGGGTGAGGCGGAGCGATGAACTCGAACTTGTATGAGGCCCGTTGATCCAGAGGTCAGCCGCCCTGCAGTTTTCAATCGTCGTAGTGAAGTGTGAAGAATCGATTACTCCTTCCTCCTGTTGGGGTTCATATTGAACCGGCGTGTTCTCCTAGGTTCTGAGCAGTGTGACTGGTGACACCAAGCTCATACTGCAAGGCCCTGTATCGAGCAGTGTGGTTCCGTCGCCGAAGAGGAGATTGTCGGGTGGCTCTGAGTCACCGGGGAAGAAGCTTTCCTCGCCTAGTGTTGTGGCGAAGGAGAGGCGAAGCGTAACTGGTGGGACTGAAACTGTGCGGAAAGAAGACGTGAATGGGCTGATGCAAGCAGTAGGCTATTCGATCGGCGTGCATAGTCATTGTTGGTGTCTTAGCATTTCAATGAAGTGAAGAAGCTACTGGCGAACGCATTAGGAGAGATGAAGTCTAGGAAGGAGAGTGAGGCCTCTGTTGAGGAGTTCAGGCGGAGAAATGAAGCTTTAGAGGCGGAGAATGGGAAACTCCTGCAGGTGACTTGTATCTGCCGACTGTCAACTGCTAGCTCTAGTGTGAGAAAATGTGTTGGTGAAATTTGGGCAAGTTTTGGTAAAATCGTGTTGGTGTGGAGAAACTTCTACCTGAATTCGTGTGTAAACTCCCGAGCTCAACTGGAGGAAGGCGAACATATATCATCACTCCAGATTTCACTGTTTTTCGGCACTTCTTACTTGGCACAGATCCCATGTAACTCAATTTTCAGCAACTAGCAGAGCTGAAAGATTCCCAGAAGAATCAAGACGCCTTGCCGTCTCGTGCTGTGAGGACGCGGATGCTGCCGAGTACCCCGTCAAGCCAGCCAGCAGTATTCACCCAATCAGCGCCACCTCTAACACCAATGTCACGTCCAGTCGCCTATGCGAGAACACCTCTCAGTAGGTAGAGCTGTACGAGCATAAGCGTGTGCATCGCTGATAGGTCTGCCTTCGTCAGCAGTACCTCCACCTTTGAAGGCGCCTATTGCTCAATACAGTTTTGCTCACAAGTACCCTATTGGTGTCCAACCCGAACGCCTCAGCTCAGAAAGGGAGGTGAAGGACGGAAGAATACGTCGATGTTCCACATGTGTTGGAGTGTTGTAGGTGGCCGTGGTATCCTTTGGGCGTTTCCTTGATAGCCAAATGGGAGGTCCTTACACTGCATTTTCCACCTTTGATGTGCATGGACGCAAACAGGTGAGAAGCTGAGATAACACGGGAGACCACGCTGATGCTGTTGGTGTTGCCAGATTTCCCTGTCCGAGTTTGACTCTGGGCTCGCGACGTGGGCGTCGGCGTATCGAATCGCTGCTGGCCGAGATCGTTCACTACCGCCTACCACCTTTGGTTGTGAAACTGCCGTCTTGTTTGGCTACATCGACTGCCTCGAGAAGGGCGTCCTCACCATAGACGTACCTGGAGTCGTCGGGGATGCGACTCGACCTTCTGGTCTTTCCTTCAGGATTTCCTTTTCGCCAGTGCATGTGGCACCGCCCATGGCCGAGGCCTTCCTCTCCCGGAGAGCCCGATCAAGGTCTCGCGACTTGCGTCTTTGACAGTGAAGTTGTGATCATGCACCTGGCAAAGTGATGTACCAATTCATGTCTGATGCATTCCGTCGTTCATCGCAATGTGCTCGCATTTGCGTTCAAGTAGTTGTGATAACACCAGCAAAATCCCTCGGTAAAACTGTGGAGCTAAGTCGAACATTGCAGAGGTGGTTCGGGCGAGCAAGCGATGCTGAGCCCTATCGATAGCCAATCGCAAGCCTAGACTTGGACGATTGCGGCCCACAGGAGCTGGCTGATCTGCCCGTTGCTGAGCACGTAGTAGATTCATTACGTCTCGTCCTGATCAACCGTATCAACCTCCGAGTTAGGGAATTTCATTGATGGCATTAAGAATTCAGGTTCTAGATCTGATATAATTGATATATGTATGGGTCGCTACCATGAGAGTTGATTGCAAACCATGGCTAAGGCAGTGGAATTCGTACGTCGAGGCTCCCGCCGGAGCGACGTGGATGAGGGATACTGCTTTTCGTGTAAGAATGCTTTGAAATGTACCACGGAAAGTACTCGGAAACGTGATTGAAGAACAGTTCTATCCTGGTTACATTCCTAAAGTCCTTGCCGACCAACGATTTCCCTAATGTGAAGTTCTCAGCGTGCTTACTTATCGACCTAAACTGAGGAGATTAGGTCTCCAGGCGCCGTTCAACCTTCTGCGGGCAATTTGTCTCGGCTGCGAATGATACCGTTCAGGAACGTTGTCCGAGTCGGTGAGTCACCGACGGTGAGCCAGTTGAGGTCAAACTCGTACCGTCTTTCTACGTCGAAGGTGTTGTTCGCGCCAATGGAAGAACAATCAAGTGCTTGTTATTCTGTCAATCATACGACAGTGCTTCATACTACACCAAGCTGTTGTATAATGCTGAGTTGGGCAAGAGGTGGAAAACAACCGTGGAAGTAACCTCAGCGAAATCTTCGAGAATTTATAGTTGAGAAGGATGTGCGGAAATTCCGCAGCGGAATCAGCCAACATAGGAAAACTTCTCCACTCGAATAGCCATCTGAGTACCGCTCTAACGACCCTACTTGTAATTGCGGAAACAAAACGGAATACTCGATAGAGCCACATGAATACTGTTCTCACAACCCTCTTTTATAGCTCAGGACGACGAAGGGGACATCCTGTATTGTGCAACGTGGGCGGTACCCGAGCAGATAATCATCCGCAGCGGCGGGAAGCTAGAGGGCCTCGACGCTAGGCTTAAGTGAGTTCCTTAGCGGTATGATTGTGAGAAGGTGTGGTATCGCTTGACGTAGAATGTAGGGGGAATATGAGAATCTGGGAAATTGTCAATTCGGCTACTGTTTGGCGTAGTTTCTATTTTTATAAAATCACTAATATGGATTCATCGACGACAAGTGTTGTTTCTTCATTTCTTGAGGCTGCCTATGAGGGCGATATCAACCGCATGAAGGATCTATTGTCCAGCAACTCTGATCTGTCTGTTAATGTTCAAGACTATGATAAGAGGACTCCTCTTCATTTGGCTGCTGCTGGTGGTCATATGGATGCTATCATCTACCTGTTAGGTGAAGGAGCTCAGCTGAAGACTGATCGTTTCGGCATGCTTCCTATCCATGATGCCGTGGTGAACCAGCACAACGACATCAAGGAAGTGCTCAGTCAGCTCGACCTCAAGTGTGACGGTGGTGTGTGTTATCTCTCCCCTGAGAATGAGGAAGCTTTGAAGGAGCAAGTGAAGAACACTAACATCTCCCTGACCCCTGAGGATTTGGAAACTAAGATGACTCAGGTCTTCTCTATCATCATCAAGGAAGGTGTACTCGCTGCCGGCTCTCTTTGGCAAGAGATTGCTTACTACTTTGCTGAGCTCGGCCTTCACCCCAGCTACTTCAAGCACTTCACCAGTGCTCAGATTGCCAGACACCTTCATTGCCTTATCGCTGCTAAGAAGGTTGCTGAGGCTACTGAGTCTGACTATATCCATTTCGAGATTGAGGATGCGGATTCGGCTTTCTATCTCACCACTATGGAGCCTGAGAAGGTCGCCATCACTGATGCCAAGGTTGCCGAGTACATCAACACTGCTCAGGATTGTGGCTTCTCTGTCACCTTCCTCAAGTCTGAAAAGCCTCCCATGCCTGAAGGAAAGTTCCCTCTTGGCGTCTTTGTTGTTGATAAACAACAGTTTGACTCCAGTGTCAAGTTCGAGGACATGATGGATGAGACCGATCTCCAGCTTGTGGCTACCCCTCGATTCCTTCAGGAGAGATCTGTTGAAGTACAGAAGCTTTACCAGACTCTCATTGACGAGACCATGGCTACTCGCAACACTGTTGTTAAGGTGTTCGATGCTCCTGCTAACTTGGCTCAGAAGTCCGGCGCCCAAGTGTTGCAGCTTGCTGCCTTCGATGTGGATCGTAAGGGAAGTGCTTACATCTCTGAGATCAACGAATGCTTCCGTTCCCATAATGTCGAGCCTAAGAGGTTCTATGTAGATTCCTTCGCCAATGGCGTTGTCACCTACACCTGTTTCTTCGACCCTACTTTCCAGGGTGAGGCTTTGGAGAAGCTCGCGCAGACTCTCCGTTATGTGAGCCACTTCAAGCATAACCCGAGGAAGTCCGCATTGGTGTGGGAACTTGTACTCAACAATATGATCACGCCCGAGCATGCTATCTTCCTTATTACTGCTGCCAAGTTCATCTTCTCTTTCTTCCCCAAGGAGACTGAGGAGTATCTTGCTTTGGCTGACTATTTCAAGAATGATCCGTCCAAGAAGAGTGAGTTGGATAGTTTATTCAGAGATACCATGGCTAATGCTATCACCTATGAGAGGATCTATGATGCTCTTAGTTCTAACTATGAGCTCACTCTACCCATGTTCGATGACTTCAAAAAGGTTGCCACTGGTCTCTCCAAGCCCTTCTACAATCAGGAGTTGGCTGACAAGGTTGACGATCAAGTTGGATCTCGTTTCGATGCGAAGATCTTGAAGACTTTGTTAAAACTCAGTGCTCATCTGCAGATGACTAACTTCTTCAAGGCGGGTACAGCTTCTGCCATTGCAATGAGGTTTGATGGTGAGGTCCTGGCCGATCGTCCGAGGACTCTCTTCCCCAGGATCCCTTATGCTGTTTATCTGGTCGTTGGCAGAAGCTTCTACGGCTTCCACATCCGATTCACTGAGATCGCTCGTGGTGGTATCAGGCTCATTCTGTCCAGGAACAGACAGGTGTACAAGAAGAACTGCGCTACTTTGTTGGAGGAAAACTACAACTTGGCCTTCACTCAGCAGTTAAAGAACAAGGATATTCCTGAGGGCGGCTCGAAGGGTACCATCCTCATGGATATGGACTCTCAGAACTTGAAGACAAGCGGTCGTGATGCTTTCAATAGCTATGTTGATGCTCTTCTCGATTGCATCCTTGCCAAGGAGACCGGCCTCCACTCCAACCTTTCCAAGCCTGAGATGCTCTTCTTTGGCCCCGATGAGAATACTGCTGGATTCATGAAATTGGGTGCTTTGAGAGCCAAGGCTCGTGGTTACAAATACTGGAAGTCTCTAACTACCGGTAAATCCGCCGTCCTCGGTGGTATTCCTCATGACAAGTACGCCATGACCACCAACTCTATCCATCCATACGTTGTCGAGCTCTTGACTAAGCTGGGTGTTGAGGAGTCTAATCTCACCAAAGTGATGTCCGGTGGTCCCGATGGTGATCTTGGTTCTAACGAAATTCTCATCTCTAAAGACAAGACAATTGCTATCTGTGATGGTACCGGTGTTGCTTATGACCCTCAAGGATTGAATAGAGAGGAGCTCACTCGTCTGGCTCATCTCAGAGTTGGTGTTGCCAACTTCTCTCGTGATAAACTGTCATCTGATCCGAAGGCATTCTTGGTCACCATTGATGATAAGGATGTAACTCTTCCTAATGGAGATCACTTCAAGTCCGGGGTTGAGGTGCGAAATCATTTCCCAGAGATGGAGTACTTCTCTGCTGATCTCTTCATCCCTTGTGGTGGTCGTCCCGGTACTATTAACATTGGTAATGTTGATAAGACCATGTTCAATCCTGAGACTAAGGAGCTCAAGTTCAAGTATGTTGTGGAGGGTGCCAACTTATTCTTGACCGATGATGCTCGTCGATATCTTGAGGATGCTGGTGTCCAGCTATTCAAGGATGCTTCCACTAACAAGGGTGGTGTTACTTCTAGCAGTATGGAGGTGTTCGCTGCTCTTAGCATGGATACGGCTGATCATGACGAGTTCCTTTGCGCTCGTGATGAGACTAGTGCTCCTCCTGAGTTCTACGAACAGTACGTACAGGAGATCCTTGCCGCTGTTCGCCATAATGCCAAGATGGAGTTCAATGGTATCTGGAAGACTAACCACGAGGTGAAGTATCCTGATGGATCAAGGTATATTCGTAAGACTGATGCCACCATCTTATTGTCTAAGAAGATCAACGACATGCAGTCTTACATCCTTGGCGTACTCGAGGAACACGACCCTGAGAATGACTGGATGGTTCGTGCTGTTCTCAGACGTTGTGTGCCCAGATTGCTTCTTGTTCATTGTGGTTTGGATAAGATAGTCGAGAACACCCCCGAGGCTTATCTCAATGCTATGGTTGCTACTTGGATTGCTGACGAGTTTGTCTACTCTAACGGTCTGAAGACGAGCGAGTTCGCCTTCTTCCAGTTCATGCGCTCACTAGAGGAGAAGTCCGAAGGTGAGGTTACCCCTTCTACTATGTGATTAACCAAAGTTTCCATATACTAGCTACATAGGGCATTCTACGTGAGTAGTTGCCGAATGTTTATAGCACTCTACTATTACACCTTACTTTTCCCATATATCTGAGTGGGAATACTCATGTTTTGATCCTGAGCTCGTTTGTATAGTCTGTTAAAGTTCAGCTCTCCGATTTCGCTATGAATCCCAGATTGTTGCGTTCTGGCAGGGAGAAGCTTCTGGGTTATGGTTGTATTTTCTCAGTTTGTTGTTCTCATCGTATCATCAAAATGGCTGATCCTGATTTCAAGCCTATGCATGTGACCGTCGGTCGTGAACATTGCCTTGGTAACAATGGTCTCGGTCGTTTCTGGATCCTACCTGGATCGCGTGACCGTGCTAAGCATATAGCCGAGAACTATTTCCGAGATGTAGAAGTGATTCCCTCTCCTCGTGGTCATGATGGTTACATTGGCAAGTACGATGCCCCTGACGGAACTGTTGTCGACATTGGTGTTATCTCTACCGGTATGGGTGCTCCAAGTGTTGACATCATCGCCACTGAGATGATCAAGCTTGGTGCCAAGGTCCTCGTCAGAGTTGGTACCGCTGGTGCCATGCAGAAGACTCTCGGAATCGGTGATATCGTTATCGCTACTGGTGCCATTCGTGATGAGGGTACGACAAGGCACTACATGCCTCTCGAGTTCCCTGCTCTTGGATCGGCTGCTGTTGTCACTGCTATGTCCAGCGCTGCGCAGTTGGAGCTGGAGGACGAAGATGAACATACTGAGGGTGGTGCCCAGTGGATCTACGATGCTGGTCCGGTCCATACTAAGGATTCCCTCATGGCTAGGGAGTTCAAGTTTGGTCCCTATGGTCCTGAGCACAAACGCTACATGGAAGTCTTGGAGAAACTGGGGTGTTTGGCCTCTGAGATGGAAGTAGCCATGCTCTTCACTTTAGGGCAAGTGTATGGTGTCAAGACTGGTTGTGTTCTCGCTCTTATCGGTGGTGGTAGTGATCCCATCTCTGATAAAGCCAACCTCAAGAGTGAGGCTGTTGCTCGTTCATGCAGGATTGTATGCCGAGGTATGGCTCAATTGAAGAAGAACATGGATAGATTCGCCAGTAAGGCGTCGTTGCTAGGTCGAACTGATGAGTAAGTCTGTGACGTTAACGGTACCGAGAGATCTTGGTGCCTTATCGTGTACAGCCTCATAACAATCCTATTCGGATCGTGTCAAAGTTTCTTATAATAATAATATTAGTATGCGGCTGTTATGTATTGACTGGTACTGATTTGTTGGTGTTGATCCTTTTTATGCCAAGAACATCAGTAGCCTCCTCTCCCCCATATCATTGCAACGGAAGTTATATCCTATGGTTGTTCTGCTTTATTTTCTAGTCTCCATCGTACATTCTCTTGAATTGTGTTACTAAGTGGGATGTTGAGTGTATTCTGCATCCCGTATTCATTTGACGTGACGGCTTTGCTGAAGTTGGAATATGGGAAATGGTCATTGACATTGACCATTTAAGAGTAGAGGTTTCTGAACTGTTCCGGGCTTTATCAACCACATTCAGCCTCTGGACAGCCAGTGATGTGAAACTTGGACGTACGCACTATACGTGGGGTGCTATATATGTATTGAGTGAGATTAAGCAGCATTTCTCGGACGAGTGGTTTCATCGATTCGGGATGATGAAGTACATTTTTCCTTTCAGGTCGAGAGATCAGGAGCGTGAGGGTTGTCTGCGCCTCTCCTTCCCAAATTTTCGTACCAAACGTTCTTACGCAAACTGAGAAGTCGACACCTACGTGCTGATGACGTCATGACTAACGCGATATGATGGGGCGGACCGGAACTCAGCTGCACCATAACTTGCACTATCAGTTTCTTATCGACATGATGATGTGTTCCCTTTCTCGAGGAGGAATTCCCATAACCCGCATTATACTAAGTACTCTACAACATACGACGATACCAGATATGTGTGATATACGGTTGCCATAACAATCCATTCATACTAAGATCACTCTTTAATCACTCTTCTTCTTGCTCCGTCTACTAACGTAAGCTAAGAAGGCAAGCAGCACTACTGCCTTACCAAAGCGTAAAAGAATCTCATTCGTAACATCCATGGTAATGTCATTGCCACATAGCCAATACCATTCAGATTCGTCTTCTGGAGTGGTCTCAAGGCATTTAATGTTAAAGGCCACGTCCCCATCGTCGACTTTAACTGGGCACAGATACCGCTCGCGGTTATTTGTTCCCCAGCCGACCACTTCCATCTCTCCTCGACAATCACGATTAACGAAAGGTTGACCGTACGAGTATCGTAGGTTGCTGCCGGCGGTGTTGTAGAAGACCACCCACAGAACGCCCATCCCGAATACATAGAACCAAGCCAGACCGAGGGTGCTCATAGCCCTCGGCTTAGACTCGCGTACATTTCTCAAAAGGGCGAAGACTGATAGTGAAACGACGATGTAGGTCGCCAGTTGTGCTTGGTCGTAGACGTCATCAAGTGGATGGAATATCAACACGAACGGTATGAGAAAAAGTAGCGGCATCAGGAAAACTGAGCCTATCATGAAGAATAGTGGTGCTCGATATCTCGTCAAGGCGTAGACCAAACCGAGGGCGCTTGTTTGACCATGGAACCAGAAGCCCGACGACAGGGGGATCTGAAACAAGTGAGCAGCTACCGACATTTCATGCTGATTCCCGCAGCATGCAATCGTCTAAGCTTCTGCACCTACACCAGCTCGGCGCGCAAGGTATGCCGGGTCGCCCTCGTGCCATACCCACCAGAGAAAGTGAGTGCCAGTGGCGTCCAAGAGCTCATACAGGACGTGACCAATGAGACCTGAAGAGGCCTAGGAAATAGGAATGATCGGCTCAGATGATTCTCGAGACCATCAATGGTCTTGGAACTTTAGTCGGATACATTCAAATGCGCATAACGCTTACCATACAAATTGAAACTTCCTCTACACATGAAGGCAATAGGAATCGAGAAACATGTGCATCAGCGTTATCATCACAAGATCTCGTACTCACCGGCTATCAGAGCCAGCTCAAGTTTCTTAAAGAAATTCTCCGTGCGCGAGCCCGAGAGGGAGAAAGCGAGCTGAAGCGATATGTATTGGAGTCCACCGTAGAGTCCCACCAGAGTGTATCTACGTTACAGAGAGATGATCGACAACATCAACATGCTTTGATCATACAATAGCACTATCCGTCCTGTCACAGAGATGCACGCCTGGCTGTACAGGGCGTTGTCTATCTAACAGGTGTTGTTGGTATTGAATCAAGCCGCCTTGGTTACTTGTGGATGAAGAGATGTAAAGAACTCAACAGCGCTACCACCAAGAGCGCACCCGATCCATTGGGCCACGGGACTGCTGGGTTGCGACTCTAAAAGAACATTCGAGCCTCCTGCGGACACGTTCTGCTATAATCACACAACAAGCGACAGCCTGAGGCTCATCTACACCTACTTCGGTTGATATAAGCATGAGCGAAGGTAATAAAGCCTAGGAAGAAGAAGAACATCTCGCCAGATACGAAACAAGGGTTTAACCTGTACAGGGTGTAACAGTTAGCACTTGGGCAGGTATGCAATTACTTCCACATGTCAAAGGGATTGTAAACAGTTATAGCCCAAGTATCAACCAGAGGGGTCGGCAGCGCCACAGTTTCCCCACTGGTTAGGACTGTTGTGCTCATGATCTTGATGGAACCTCTTAACTCAAGTTCTGGATCTTTTCCTGTACCGGTGTTATGGGAGTAGACCGTTAGGTAGAATATCAGGCGTAACGAGCCCAATAACCGAGTTAATGAAATGACAACTAACACGGATATTCGTATTAGGACGGACTGTTAATACGTTGGACTGTACGACTATGACGTGAGCACAATGAACACAAGAAACACAATAAACATATCGAAGTGTGATCGTAAAAAGCGCTCGTCTTAATAAACGATGGTGTTCAAGACGGATAGTATCAACAATGAGAGTAATACAATCCTGCAATCTCACTTTTTGCTTATATATGCGGATTTGCCAAAAACCATAATTTTCGACAGTCTCACTTATTTGCTCTTGTGTATATGCTGCTTATTGAGTTGTGACGTAGCAACCACATTTACACCCCAGCAATTGCTACACCATTTAAGCATCTAGTTCGTCTTTGGAACCATCAATTTCGCCGGTACGCGCGAAGTTGGAGGTACGAATCCGAGTTGGGAAGATCACATTCACAATTAGAACATTCAAGTTCGTCATAGAACATCCAAGTTCATCCGAAGTCGATAGGAAGTTCAAGTTCATGTTAATAGAACTTTTGATTTCGACTTTCGAACCTTCGAATTCGTCATAGAACTTTCAATTTCGTCGAGTACACCTTCAGACCTTCAATTTCGTCCCTTTAAGAAAATCGACTTAGTTGTCCGGAACTTCAATTTCGTGTTACCGGGGGAATTATGCTGGTACTCTCATGATGATGCTTATGCTAAGTGGTCGCGGTGCACAACCTAACTACCACTACAGCAACATCGAAGGCACTACTGAAAATCCTCATATCAATGTCATGTCACATGAATAGTGCGGCCAGCTCCTCATATGACTGGTCCGAACAATAAACAAGATGTAACATCTTGGAGAAAGAGATGTTTTCAAGAACATTTGAGGGATGTTTAGTTATGATCAGTGTCCAACACTCCATTCGTGAAAAGTATTCACCAACTCAAAAAGCCGTAGTAGCAACATTGAAAAGGTTACTCAACCTCATCGCTAATAGGGCCTTAGGCCACTTATAATTTTCACATTCAACATCAGTGTGCAAATAACGGGATAAAACAGCAGGAAACGAGGAACAGCACTAAGTAAATCCTCGAGGGAACTCTAGAATGACATCTACTGGCTTTCAACCATGAAATCAGTTCCTCTCTTAATATCTTCACGGAGTTTCTCAAGAGTCTCCACCATCCTCTTCTGCTCGTGTGGAGTCAAACCAACGAGCTTCTCAACTTTCTCAACACCTACCGGTCCAAAAGTGCAGATATGAGCAAAGAACTGTACGTCCTCATAAGGCTCGTTGACATAAGCACAGGCTGTATGGCTTTCGCCCTTTAACCCGCGGATAACTATATCCACGAACTGGGCAGCCGAGTAAGCCATTGAAAGGCTAGCCGACCCGGCACCAGCGAGTGCATCAACAACCTCAGTAACTGCATTTTGAACATGATCATCAAGCTCTTCGATGCTTTCTTCGTTCAGCTTGACATAAGGAGTTGCCTTAGAGAATAGAGGGAGGATAGCACAGCCACCATGACCACCAACAACAGGGACGTCAACTTTTTCAACATCCATACCAGTAGCCTCAGCATAGAATGTCCTGGCACGTGTCACATCAAGGGTGGTGATACCCACGATCTTCCTCGAGTCGTATACGCCAGCCTTCTTGTAAACTTCAGCAGTGATGGGCACGAGAGCAGTCTCGGGGTTCGACAAGATGCAGACAACAGCCTCAGGAGCATACTTGGCGAACGCAGTTGCCAAGTCACGCATTATACCAGCGTTGACGTTGAAAAGATCATCTCTAGACATACCAGGCTTTTGAGCGATACCAGCAGTACAAACGATGACTTTAGACCCTGTAAGTGCGGCCTCGAGCTCAGTAGGACCAGCATAACCCTTGACCTTAGCAGGAGAGTTGATGTGAGAGGAATCAGCAGCAACACCAGCAACAGGTACACGGGCTTGCTTGACATCGTACAAGGCCAACTCAGTGATCATTGGGTTCATCTTCAGCAACAACGAAAGCGGCATGCCGATAGCACCGGAGGCTCCAACGAGAGTGACTTTCATGTCGGTAGTAGTAGTGGTGAAACTCATGAGAAAACTAGAATAACAGTTGCAATTAAAAGAAACTGAGAAAACATGAAGTAAACTTCTATATGACATGAATACCAACTTCAATTACAATAAACAATTTATAATAGAGTTCCAAGTTTATGAAAGGTCATACTGCAGCGTAGCGCGTCGTAAGCTTTGTGCAGTTGTCGATCAGTTTGTGTAGTAGCTTCCACAAGAGGCCAAATAAGGGCCAAAGCCAATAATTCAACCATCAGTTGACACATTATGGTGTACTGCAATCTGTAAAACTACGACGTCCGTAATGAGTTAATACCGAGACCCATAATACAGCAAGCATCAGCGCGAGTGCTATCGGGGACAACTTCACAGAACTCCTGCACGCATGCCCATGAACGCAAAGTACCCGAGTTCGATTCCCGGAGAGAACATCACGAACTAACATGAGTTAACGATTTGCACTTCCTTCCTGAACATGATGAAACCCTTAATGAGAATGGTCACTGAAGGGTCTTGAGTGAGCTCAGAGTCGAGTCGTATCGTTTCCAATGACGACAACAAGGATTCAGTTGCCAGTACGGGGAGGAGCTTCTGAAGGCCTTCGACTGCTATACCAGAACCTACCGCTAACATGCGATACATTCGTGACCGGTAGCATCCACTGCGACTAAAGCCGATCACAGTATGTAAGGGAGGAAGCGACACTGCAAACCGCTCACTTCTGAGGTCGAGCTCGACGACAGCCGGTTGGGACGTGTTCAGAGGTTCTTTAGAGATCTGTGAGGGGAGGGGGGTCAGTCTGGATCAACAGAGACGAAACTTACATGTGACGACTTCAGCTCTTCCGCCGAGATTCTCCGCAAGGCTTCAACCAGAGCGTCTACCGCCGATCCCGTACACAAATCAGTGGGAGCGAATCCACCGAGAATAGCTCGACTGCAGTCGTTGCCCATTCGAGTGAGCTTCTGATTGACGATCTCCTGAGACCAAATGACTCTTCGAATATCTCCTCAAGCACGAGCTTATGCTTGCCTCAAGATATACTGCCTGGTTGGTGCATGATGAAGGGACTCCTCCAGCCACCACTGTTGCCTCAACCGCTGATCCTTCACAAGCTGATTTGGTGACCTCATCAATTCGTCTTATGACGCCGTTAACTGGCTTTGAATTCTCCCTAGCGGCCGACATGTTAGCCTCATACTGCTCAACTTCACCCCTCAGCTCGCGGATCTGATCACATCTCTTTGAAAGACCCCGACACCAATGAGGGTTGTCATAGTGTCGAATCAACGCTATTAGTCATGAGCCGATTTCTCAGTAAAGTAGCCGGCAGATTCATGTGACTGAAGGAGCCCACCTTCTGTTGGTAGCCCGGGGCTTTTCTATTGAAGTCATCCGGGCAGATGTAACCCGCCTCAGTATCATTACACAGTTGCACGACCGTCGAGATAAACCTGACACAAGACTGCTACCAGTTTGAACTCTAAAGCTGGCCTCAAGAGTAGGCAGACATGGTCATGTTCAGAGGAGTGGCCTCACCTTGAGCACTCACGAGTTAACCGAGGCTCTACTTTATCGCTACCCGGACGGTTGAGTATGTTCTGTAGACCGTAAGCCTCGTCGAGGAGCAACCGAGCCTGTATCACAAGTTAACGATCATACTATGTGCTCCGGAAAGAGAGGCGCCGCTCATAATTTCACAGCGCATACGAATATCGGACAAATTCAGGGACTGATTAGAAACTCCGGACGAAGTCTCCAGTGGTGCAGAAATGGAATCTGCCAGCACTTTTTGCTACACACGGGGTTTCTCGACCGTTATACCTCATCGAATATGGGGAGCTATTCAACTATCGGGACCTCGTCGAGGGCTTTACAATGGCGTTCGAGTTTGTCTGATATTCACATGCACCACGTAAAGCCGACAGATGGGCACTTCTTTTCCGGATCATCCGGTGGCAAGAGGATCCCGCCTTACCGGGCTTTTGTCGGAGGAGTTTTTGATCGATCCAACCTCCCCACCTTGGACCAGCCTCAATGCTTCTTCGAGATCACTTTGAGATATGTCATCTGGGATCATATTACAGACAGTAGATTATACTAACTACAAGGACTGTCGTTCCTCGGGCTTTCGACACGCTTCAAACAAGAATACTCTCTTGATCGAAGACGTACACATCCCCAAAAGATGAAGGTGTGGCGCTAATAGCAGCTTCAGCTTGCGGGCGTATCAGTAACGCTGGGTTACTGAAGCTGTTACTAACGCTGGGTTGGTGAGATGGGTAGAGTGGGGACCGACGCTCCATCAGAGTCAAGCCAGATAGCCGCCCAAAGAGAAGTATAGTGACACGACGAAGAAACTTCAAGGCATCCCTCTCCCTTGTGGAGTCTATTCCTATGATTTAGCGACTGATGACACAACGACCGAGAATTGGTGCAAAGACATATAAGTGTGCAAAAGCTTACACTCACACACACTGTGTATGTGCGAGTGCGAGAGTGTGAACCTCTCGCACTCTAATCTTCGATGAAGGCTATTGCCTCTTGCAATGGCACGTATTCGACAGTCCCGACAGACGTTGGGAATCATTCAGATCCAAGAAAATGTCGTCGAGCATCTGCCGTTCGGACACTGTGAAGGTAAGAAAAACCCACTGAGTCTCGGCGACTTCATGGACTCATCATTAACCATTGGTTCTATAGTGTAGTGGTTAGCATTCAAAGCTCTTATTCCAGCAACTCGGGTTCAAGTCCCGATAGAACCTCGGTCTTTCCCAAATCTATCAGACAATGTTGGATACTCAACACACTCTGAACGAAGGGCAGTCCAATCGAGTCTTAGAGAGTTGGCCGAATCGTAACTCATCACTTGTTCTATACTGTAGCTGTTAGCATTCTGAACTTCACAACCTGCGATTCGGGTTCGCAACCAATTAAAACCTATAGACCAAAACTCCCGCAAACTCCAAGGTGCGTTTGTTCATCAGCCCATCGTCAGCGCTCCGCTTCTGACTTTTGATTATTGGTACACCATGCCCTTAGCCGATACTCGTCGCCAAAAGCACCGAAATGCAAAAGTTTCGAACCCACCCAGTTATGTCTGATTATCCAACTCGTACCGACATGCTTCATCACGCGAAACAATTCGCCACGAGATGAGCACGAGCTCACACAAGGGATCAAATATTTTCCGAGTAGCTACACCCATCGAGTGAATCACGATGGCGAGAATCTCATCGAAGACCCATCACTAACATCAACTCAATCGCATTGGCCCGCATAAAATAATAAATTGAACGGCCTGTTCATCCATGAATCATGGCAAGACATCAGTAAGGGACATAAAATCCTTATGAAGTTGCAGGTCAACCAACGCCCCACACTCGGTCTTTGCATATGAGGAGAGAACGGAAGTTCAGACGACCTCTAATCGGTGGCTTCCCAAACTTCGTTGTAGAAGGGTTCCGAACCTGCGACGACTCTTGTTCTATGTACTCGTCAATATTAAGCAACTACATCCGCCAGGCGACTCTCTTTCAACCACCCAGGCCCAGGCAAGGGCCTTCCACTTTTCTTTTCCGACCAGCTTTCCACACGATAGTCACCAAATGGCTGAGCTTCAAACAATCACAGCGTGGAGAGTATTCGCCATAGGGCACACACCTTGCTGCTTTTCACTGCAATACCAGTGCGCACATCTTCTGGCCGGTATTGTCCTGGTCCAGGCAACAGAGCTGACTCCCTCAAGCTTGGAGAGCTCCTCGTTCCCACTGCTACTGCGAATCGATCCGCTCGACCGAATGAATGCGCCTTCGAACCATCCTTATCTAGACGAACGAGGAGATCAGACCCTTGAGGAAGCAACGATCAATACCAATATTTCTCCATAGGGGTGGGCCCGGCCCCCTACTAGCACGGCCCTTATTCTCCTCTTCACAGCCCGGACGTCTGACCCTGAAACATGCCTTCACCATTGACCCCTCAACCACTGCGACCTACTTATCATATGCTCTATGTCCAACTGAGAACGACTTTCGCATTCTTTTAGGGTCGATCGCCGACTCGCCCACGTCCCCATACTAACAACAATTCGCTCTACTACACCGGGAAGCCCAAGAGGGCCCCCCCACTACCTCTCCAGGGCCCACCTTCAGCCCATTGATCGGGCCCTTCCTGAACCGCTCACCCGATGAGAATCTCACCGACGACCGAGGCCTCAACGCTACATCGCCATCTTTGTATTTGTCGCGAATATCAACGAAACCCGGCCCCGGGCTCTCTCTATCCCCTGCCCCCAGCTGAGTGGACAGGTCTGGCCTCCTCGACAGCGCGAACGAGATGGCCTTATCACAACGGAGGCTGCCACTGTCGGTATCATATGTCCCGGCGCCAGGAGCATCCAAGCCTTTCACGGCTTTGGAATGCATTTTCGTTATGAATACACGCGACCACGAATGCTCATTCTTCGCCGTCATCGTCACACACGACTCGTTACGCCAATGAGAGCGAATTTGTGGAAAGCCAAGTGAATCTAGCGGCACGTCGTAAGCTCCCGGACCAGGCACCGAGGCCCCCGGCTCCTCCACCCCCTGGCCCGAATCAACATACCTACAAAAATCAATTGGAACTCTCAAGAGGCTCCAAAGGCCGTACGTTGTAAAGACGCTAGGCCTACCATACAAGGCAGTTAGATGGACCGGCGCAGGCGCCAACGGTGGTATAACCGAAAGAACAGCAGGCTCCTCCTCCTCAGACGGGCTCTTCGCCCCCGCAGTATGGGGACCAACCATAGTCTGATTATAACAATCTAGACCCTACGCTCTAGTGTTTGCATATATGTTTGCTCTCCTCAGCTCAGCCCAGGAGTTTCCTCACTAACTATGAAATTTACATATAAATTCGGTTAGAAGGTACAAAAACTAACGAAAATTTCCCAAAATTTCCTCAGAATTTCCACGTTGTCACCAACACATGCGATCGATCATATGCATATTTTCCCACACTGCTACACCCAACAGATTATGACAACTCTACCCCATACAGCTCGAAACAGATGCCAAGACCAGCACACGTCGAACATGCGACGTTAGTAAACCGCGTAAGTCCACGTCAAAATGCAGTGAACGAGTAACACACTAAAATGAAGAACTCAATTAACTCGATGCTGTATCACAGCTCGTCCCTCTCTTCTTATCGTCAATGACAGATATCTCTCCCGGCCCACCACTCGACGTTGGTGGTGACGCTGTTTTCATACGACCCTTTTCTTGAGCGGCCATCATATGCCCAGACAAGAAACTGATCACCTTCCTATTGATGCGGCTCCACTTCAGCAAATCCGAGGAGATAAAGTACTTCTCTCGGAGCTCACACGTATACCGAACCATAAGACTCCTCCTCATCTTGTCCTGCTCCATCTTCAGTGAATCACTGCACTGCAAGAAATGGTCCAACCACTCCAGCGGCAACTGACGGTAGACCAGCGACTCTTCCACAGACATTCCGCGATAGGTTTCCATCTTATACCCGCTGAGACGTACACCATCACAACCGCGCCAAGCATGCGAAACTCACCTCATGAAGCGATGCATAGCAAAATCTATAGGATACCTCCCAATGATCACTAACGCTATATACTCAGCAGCTAATCCAAGGCTGACATAATCAGCGCCCTTGATGGTGATCCGATGACCACCATACTTGGCGTCAACCATTTGATCATCAAAGCGACCAGTTACGACTGAGCCCTTATCTGAATAACGAGACGGATGAGCCGCAACCTCCAGCAGCAGCCGCCGGCCCCACCTACCCAGTTGGATACGAGTACTAGAGTCGTGCTCGATGGTTCGCAAGACGCAACCTCTCGGACCAATCAACGCTGACTGAATGAAGCCCGGTACGACTAGAACCTAATACGACAAGGGCGACGACTGGAACTATGCTCCCTGCGAACGGTCATCACAGCTGCTTTAGGAAATAAACTCGTCTTATTGGTCCTCAATATCTCCTGTCGAATGTTGGTGACGAGTTGCTCAATGCAAGCCGCGCAATCGTCAACAGCCGCTTGGGAATCTGATCATACACATAGAGGGGCAACCCTTCAGAAAATTAACCCCGACTCCCTGCGATTGACACTGCAACAAACCCAGGCTGCCCATCCACTTCGTTATGGTGGATCTCACAAGAGGCGTTGGCCTCGATACGCTTAACGTTAACGCCATTAACTCCTATGACCTGACGCAACTTCGCACTTCCGCACCAACTATGCTAATAAGAGTAACTCACCCTTCCGATGAGGTCTTCATGACACACGACCTGTCGAGTGAAGAGGTTGGCTTGATAGGGTTCCTCAAAAGAACCTGCAAATGAGCAGAGCCTGACGTTATGGCTACGAAGCCTACCTGCAGCTCCTCCCATCTCGGCTATGAATCGCTGCTGCTGCGCCAAAGCCCCCAGGCCAACAGGGTGCCCAGCAACACTCGCTCGGCGATGCCGTGGGGCTTGGACCAAACCTAGAGTAGTCATTATCCAAGGGCATGCTTTCAATCAACTCACCTTGAGCAGCAGCAACGGCAGCTGCCGCAGCTGCTGAGACAGAGGTGGTCCGTGGTCGCTTGGGCTCGGCAACAGAGGTATGGGAGGCAGTCTCTGACAGACTACGTTTCCGTGGCTCTCGAGGACACTGCGGCCAAGGGACGTTGTAGTGACGAGGAGACTCGAATGAAGGCATGATAGAAAAAGTCTACAACTGTAATTAGCTCACAGGTGCCGAAACATCGACAACATCTTGCGCTTAAAGACGTTTTTCTAGGCGCGCGCGGTATTTCCTGGCGCGTGACTTTCGTTTCAACAGCAACTATCGCGCGCCTTTGTCACACAACCCACTTCAATGGTGATCAACAGGCTCTACAAGTTGATCTTCGGCTGTCACCGTGGTCACAGTGGCGGCCTTCTTTCTTTACCCAAGTGCATTGGACTTTCTTGTCTACCATCAGAGCCGCCTAAAACTGAACAACCACCTCGAAAAAAGTCCCGATGTGAACGCTTTTGGACAGAGTCCCTCATAATTTCGTACCTACGAGATAACTACGGGGTCATCGTCTTCCCCCCAGAGTTCTGGGATGACCAACAATCCGACTCGCTGGCCCGTCGGTCAAGGCTGCTCTACTTAGTCACTCACGACTTCACTCCGCCACTTGACGACCCGTTATTCACGGATGATGTCAACAACGATGCGATCCTCAGTTTCCTCACTGGTCGGGGCTTCACCTATTTAGAGGCGATCGAACAGGACGGGACGATATGTTCTTTCGGCGTCTACCTCTTGTGTGTCTGGAGATTCTACAGATCTAAAACGGCAGAGCTCGGGAGGTTGCGTGACAGAGTCGTGAGGTTCGCCTACAGAGCTTCACCCTGGCACACCTGGCCGTGATCAGTACTTGAGAACATCCAAAGTAACATTGCCAATTCAACGACTATCTTATGATATAAGTGCACTTACGTTTTCATCGATTCGTACCACGTACAAGTTCTGCATTTCTCTTTATAGTAGTAATATTAGTCCAGTGGTTAACGTGGTCAGCCGTGATCGGAGAGGTCGCCGGTTCGATTCTCCTACATTATTCGACATTTATTATTTACGTCTTGTTGTATCGCCTTGTATACAGTCTGCCACAGCAAGGTGTTGAGTTAATACCATTCTGTTGCGCATTAAGGTCTTTACAGTCTTCGGTGGACCATCGCATTCAATAGGGTAATCTGCGACAGCGAAGCGCCACACGTGTATGTGGAATTGTCGGTGCCATGCTCTACTACAGCTCATCATAGCAGTCCATGTCAGCATTAACCATCGATATCTTCCAGTAGTCGCATATTGCCAAACGGTTGAGTGCCCTGATGGAATGCTTATTGGCAATTGGGATGTATCTCTCGGCAACTGACAGGGAGCTGTAGTCATACCTATAGCCTTTGTACCATGCTACCCTCCTCAATGATAAGTCAACAATGTCGGCGGGCCTTTGCAACTAAGAGGAGCTCAAAAGCCCGGCAAAGGGTCTTCGATATGAAGGTTAGTAAAAATGCCCCAACTAAGGTAAATGGCGTGGACTGCTTCCCTCCACATGGAATTTGCACTCATGTTCACCAGCAGGTCTCGAAATTTAGCGCTAGAGCGTATAGTCATCATCGTCGTAGGAAAACGTACAGAGGAAGACTTATTCTGAATGGCAAACACATTTTGGAAGATCACACATATATAATATGACTTCAATATTGGAGTTTCACGACCCGCTTTACGTGAAGTGGCGTAATTTTCTGTGAAAAACGCGATGTGCAGTAGTCGTGGAATATATTCCTCACCAGTGCTTTTCCATATCACTAGGGTGGTGAAACTCAATTGACCTATTCACTTTGAATGATGAAGCGAGTCGTTGTAGGCGCGATGTGCTTATCGAGCAATTGAGGAGGAGTTCCGAGCGCTCAGGCGCGACCGCAAGTTGAAAAACGAGAACCGACCGTTTGGGTTAACTGGCAGGAGGTTTGCATTTTGAACTGCATGGGCAAGTTTCTGGTCACCTTCGGGTAGCGTTGCCAGCAGGGGTCTGCTCAGTGTTGGAGTAGGAATATATGCTCGCTTTCCTCACCTGAGCTCAGGAGTACCCTATACAGTGTTGGAGTAGGAATATATGATGGCTTTCCTCAGCTGAGCTCAGGAGTTTTCTATACAGTGTTGGAGTAGGAATATATGATTGCTTTTCTCAGCTGAGCTCAGGAGTACCCTATACAGTGTTGGAGTAGGAATATATGATGGCTTTCCTCACCTGAGCTCAGGAGTTTCTATACAGTGTTGGAGTAGGAATGTACGCTCGCTTTCCTCACCTGAGCTCAGGAGTTTCCTCACTAATTATTGGATTTTATATACAAATTTGGGTAGGAGTGTTCAGAAGCCAACTTTAGTCTGCCGACATTTTCTCAAATTTTCCATATCGTCACCGACATATGTAGCCGAACGTATGCATATCTTCTCACACTGGGGGGAATCTATGTTGCTTTCCCTCACCTGAGCTCACAAGTTTCCTAACTATACTGTGAGAATATACAAGATTTACGGTGAAAGTCTACAAAAACCAACCATAATTTCCCAAAATTTTCTCAAAATTTTTGATATCGTCATCAGAGCATGCGGTTGACCATGTGCATGTTTTTTCAGATTTTCAGTTCTAAATAACTATATTAATATTAACGGATCATAATATCTATATATTCCCCCTTAATTGGAAATATATACTTATCAACCTAATTGGATATCAGTCATAGTTAAAATATATACGATAACGATACTCTCATGTCCTCACCCCCGTTGCGCCCCCATCATCGCCCTTCCTGTCGGCCTGCTGCCACAAGAGACCCTCTCGCTCTGCCGTTGTTGAAGGAAGAGGAAGAAGAAGAGGATTTGGAGTGTGGTGGTAGTCAAGGCCGACGGAGCGACGCTGGTAGGGTCGGTAGTATTGGTCGTCCTCCATCCTATCACGCAGATTCTGTACCTCTGGTGAGCACAGTCTCTAGTGTGGCCCTCGAGGGCACGCCAGAGAGCTCTACCGGCAGGAGTTGGCATCAGCAGGAACGATCCTATTCGACAACGTCTCCTTTTATGCCCAGTAGAGCGCCGCCTCCACGATCGGCTACCACTCTCACGGGGAATACTGTGCCTCAAGTACTACTACAACCTATAGAGCGATTCTCAGTGGTGTAATTCAACACCCGATTTCCTATTGTTGGTAGGCCCCTAGTCCGGAGCTCAGTAGCCACCCTGCTACCAACACTGCTAGGCCACAGCTCCGACATCAACAGACTTTCCCTCTACCTTCTGCAGCTCATATACCCTCAGAAGTATCTTCACTAAAAACCACACCTATTCCCGTCTGCCCTGTAGTGGTGGAAGGCGCTGAGTGAGCCGCTTCCTGGGTAGAATTTCCAATTATGATCTCCCAACGCAGTTTGGGAATATATGTGTGGTTTTTCCAACTGAGCTTGGAAGTCTCCTCACTATATTATGAAAACCTACATACGACTTTGGGTAGAAGTGTACAAAAACCAACGAGAATTTTCCAAAATTTCCTCAATATTTTTGTCAACACTGTAATGTCATAATAGCATATGAGTCCTTCTCTTTTGGTGTTGTCACCGGCCTTGGACGATGATGCTGTTGGTTCGATCAGGACAGGCCCTACTCAGCGAAGCATAGAGAGGAGGAATCTAAAGCTCTTCGTACAGGGGGACCGACGTAGTTTGATATCAGCTCGAGGAAATCTTAATGTCCATCGTCTGATACCATACATAACTAAAGTAGTTTGAAATGAAGGGTGCAGGATGCCGGAATCGAACCCGGGACGGATGGTGGATAACGCTGCCGCGCTCAGGTTTACCTGAATTGGCTCTATGATACTTTCCCTTCCATCATCCGGCTGAAGTGGCACACCATTTTCTTTCTTGTTATTATTATGTAGGATGCCGCCACCGGGGTTCGAACCGGAGATCTTCCTTGCTAGATACATCATCGTCATATTGCTGTACGCCATCTGTTTCTGGTCATTCGATAGTAATTTTGTCTGCACTAATCACGTACATGATTTTGGTGACTACTACTTCTTCGTCGTAAGGCCCTTCCTAGGGTCATCCTAGGGTCACCCTTGCCCTTAGGTCCAAACTCTGTTCACGATCGGCTACGGTGGAAAGGAGCCACTCTGTTTCGTCACCAACGTTGGAGTTACTATAATATCGATTCTCGGCCTACTGCAGCATACAGCTCTAACGGGGATCGTCTTTGCCAAATTCACATTGGACAGTAGCAGCCCCTTTCTCCTCGATTGGTGCCCCTTAGGGTTTCCCCTCAGGCTCTCGCGACCTGGCCTGTGCTTTCTCGACTCGTCTCTTTGCCATACCACCGTGTGAAGATTCTTTTACTGCTCTTGGAGGGTGAGCATCGCTCCGCTCTTAGTAAGTGCATCATTTCTGTTGTTATTAGAATCGATTCAACTCACCCGCAATCGGCGGCCCACAGCGTTGCAGGGGACAGTGAACATGTCAGACTGTGCTTTAGATTCGTTAATGTACTATGATGGAAAATATGCACATTGTCAACTACATGTGTTGGTGACAATATGAAAATTCTGAGGAAATTTTCGGGAGTTTCTGTTGGTTTCTGTAAATTTTTCTACCCGGGAGGAAAACTTCTGAGTTCAGCGGAGGAAAGTGAACATATGTTCCTACTCCAGCGCTGACGCTGAGAATAACAACGCTTGGGCTGCAGTTTGTTTTCTCTTCTCAGGAGGGTGGCGGGATGGAATTATATAGGTAGTCGCTTGAAGTCACCTGTATCCACAGTGTGAGAAAATATGCGCATGCTCAACTACATGTGTCGGCGACAATATAAAAATTCTGAGGAAATTTTTGAAAATTTTCATTTGTATGTTTACATTTCTACCCTAGTTCGTATGGGTTAGAAACTCCTCAGCTCAGCTGAGGAAAGTGAACAAATATTTCAACACTGAGTCGACGCTCTGAAGGAGCTCCCAAACGAGGGCAGCCTCTTTCTTTCGTGTCGTATCACCAAGGCAGTGCGGGAAAGTATGCGCATCGTCAACTACATATGTCGGTGGCAATAGGAAGATTTTGAGGAAATTCTGCGAAGTTATCATTGGTTTTTGTATATTTCTGCCAGATCTCGTATATGAACTCGTTCATTTTATGAGGAAACTCTCAACTGAAAAAAGCTAAAATATATTCCAACACTGAGCTCAGGTTTTCCATCGGCACTTCTTCCACGTGTCGATGCGTCTATTCCTGATAGAGCACCATCCGGCCTCAGAGGACAACTGGAGCTGTCCAACAGTGCAGGTGAGGGAAAACTCTTTTTTTATCACAGCATTGAGACGGTGCTGTAGGAGCTGCACTATTTCGATACGTCCATACCGTTGGAATTTATGAGCCTCCCTGTGGAAGTATGCGCCTATATTCCCATTGAACGGTTGCCGTTGCTGAACCAAGCTGATGTTCTCGACGATGATGAGGAGGGGGAAGAGGCTGGTAGAGTTGCTGTATGCCGCATCGGTGTTGGAATTGGGAGTTTATATATGAATTTATACAGAAACCAATGAGAATTTCCGTAGATTTCATGTCGTAGACCGCACATGCAGTTGACCATGTGCATCTCCCCCATCCATACTGTGGTCAGGTACTCCCGGTGGCCGCAGCGTTGTATCAGGGGCCATCGCTGAGGGGCCTACAAGCACTTCCACTGTTGGTCAGCATTTCTGGGTCCGCCACTTCAGTGAACAGTAAGTGTGGTAATTGGTATATGATCGGCTCCTTCTGGTAAACAGTTACAAGGTGGCGAGGCAGATGAGTGGAGCCCCACCGATGGCCCTCCCGCATACGATGCCCGTTGCCCCCAATATTTGGCCCAGTACTACCACACCAAGGTCTGCCCATGGCGGTGACCCCATAACGCCACAGTAGGAGTCTGGCCTCAGTCTCCCTTTCTCTTCTCCAATGGTTGCTTGTATGGAGTGTTGTAGTAGGCGAGGAGTAGCGACTCCTCGACGGTCGTACGCCGCCTCGTCTGTTCGATCATCGTGCTTGAAGACAGTGCCCAGTAGCTTTGAACTGGTCTGCACGCTTGAGTTCACTGATGCTACTACTGGTGACCCCACGGGCTCATTATGGGGGATGGCAGCCTGAGATGCCTCTATGATTAGGTCATGAGATCAGTGCGAAGAAGTCCTGGCCGTTGACAGACGTGACGTGGCTACCACCAGGCACGGATATTAGTATGTGTTGGATGAGTATTGTGCAACGTGTTGGCAACACGGGTGTTTACAACGTCGATGTATTCACTACTACTACTACTACTACTACTACTACTACTACTACTACTACTACTGCTACTACTACTACTACTACTACTACTACTACTACTACTACTACTACTACTACTACTACTACTACTACTACTGCTACTACTACTACTACTACTACTACTACTACTACTACTACTACTACTACTACTACTACTACTACCGCTCAAGTTGATCGATTTTCCTCAGGTCAGCAATCTCGATTCCATCGCCACGTACGACTACGAGGACTCCGAGGCCTGTTCGTCCTTTGGTGGCACCTCTTCATACGGTGTGCAGTCCCCGGAACGAGAGGTGTTGTTGTTGTTATTAATACTATATCGCATGACCTACTGCCCTGCTGGGACTCAGGTGGACTTCTCTAAGTCTAGCCCTGAGTTCAGTGTTGACACCTCTTTGGTGAATCACGTCTCACGACCGACTGTCAGGTGAAAATGCACCTGCTCGGAATTGAACCAGGGACCACCCATCTTTGCTCTTAGTCGTGTTTGGAGTTCGGCGGCCACGGCTGAGGCTGCAAAAGATGAGGAATTTCCCGATCCGACGTGGAACATACGTTTGGGAATTTACCGTGGAGATTTCGAGGCCTCTCCTGAGAAGGATGATGAAGGGGATAATAAGCTTGTGAGAAGAGATAACGACAGGTCGCATCTTGAGTATTGCAATTCGACCTCAGCAACTGTCGACGTCAGGTTATCGAGGTTACGCGGCGGAGTGTCCAACAGGTGGTTGAGCGCTGAAGATCCGAAGAGTCTTTTGTCATCGAAGACTGTTGGCAATGAATTCTCACAGTCGAATGTCACGGCCGATGTCACTAGTCGCAGTGCGGCGGCTATTCTGAGCAACGCGGCTGCGGGCTCAGCCTCCAGAAATCAGCGGTATATGCGGTCCAGAACGATGAGCAACATTGGGGAGATAGGCTCGCGATTCTCTGTTGGGAATCGCAAGCAATCGCAACGTCGTGCCTTTGGTGCCGGACTCGTCGATAGCCTAGATTGAACCTGCGTGCATTGTTGTGTTGCCCTATTTTTCCTCTGCTATAAGTGCGTTTATTCCTATTCTGATATCACTAGATTGATGCTGACAAGACGCCTCTGATGTTGATCTCTTTTACTCTAGTGACACGTCCATGCCTACATGATATGAGGTTTCCGACATTCCTTGGTCATTGTGTTCGATACCATCTCAATCTCAACTGCTGAGAGATCTCGAGTGATGGTCTCAAGGAGAGGCGCGTGGTGCCAATGGAAAAATTCGTGGTGAATTACACAAGGCAGTCAAGAAAATACTGCGTCCGACATGAAACCGTCTTCTATAGTGTTCCCTGATCTGCTACGCCCACGTACTCAAGTGCCGAGCAGTCCTTGCTCACTGCATCGAGATCGTTTATAAAGCCAGCAGTTCTTTGTTGGGGTATCGCAACTCACGGTTGGCGATAGGAGAAGACAGACGAAGTGGCGAAGGCTATCGAGTGGTTGGTGTTCGTGTTCGGCACAGTAGTTTTGTTGGAGGAGTTCCCCCCAGAAGGAACTGCATTGTGTTGATATCTCCAGCCTTCGACAGCTGCTCACACTGAAGAATACGATGAAGTCCCAACCGTACGCTGTGGTGAATACACACTTTTGCCATAGTCTTAAGACATTCATAAGGAGCTCATGCAAACGCCTATGATAATGGAAGCACTCGAACGTTTATTGGCTGATCCTTCTGATGCACTGCTTATCGCCTAAGGGGCCTCAAGTCTTCCTGCTGAGGCCTTTGCTGACTAAATCACGAATCTGGTAAAACAGCTCATTTTTCACGCGGACGAAGCGTGAATGTCGAGATGTTGATCATTCGACCAAGGAAGACCCTCTGGGGAACACATCCCCGAGAAGTAATGCACCAACGCTGTTGGTGGCTGGGTGGACATTATCGACCACATCTCCCACGACCAGCGTTATCGTAACGGTAATACCGTTGTCTATTGAGGTGTCCAACTATCTTTTCTAAGACTGGTGTTGAGTCCCGCAAGTTCACCACTGAGTTCGAGACGCTCTTATTAATTTTTGCTTGACTGGAGCAGTCTACAGATGATGTACATTCGCTGGCACTTGTCTAGTTGTTCAACGAGTGTAGGATTGCCTCGTGATGTACAGGCCTTAGAGATGGGCCTGGGAAGCAACTGGTGACATGCTCAACCTCAACAATAGTCTTGAAACCCTCGCATTTTTACCAGCAACCTCATCAACGGAGTTCGTGAAAATAGCTTCCGAGTGATTATACGGAACCCGCAGAAATTATGGTATGAATTCAGCACGAAAACACTCCCTCTATTTCCTGGCTGGAATCATATTCACCCAATCCTCCTGTTCGCGTCTTATGAACGCAACACTGTCATTGCGAAGCGGAAACGATATGCAGGGGTTCATTCAGGGTGAAATCGCAAACTCAGTGGCTATCATAACGTGATCACTGCCATAGCATTTGTATGGCAGACCACCATTGCAGGCTTCAATATCATCATCAGTAAGGCCAGGCAAGCTCCACACAGGCGTGAGACGAGGTGTGTAGAATATGTAGTCCAACACGGCCCTGATAAAGGCAATCCTATAACACAAATGGGAGACCTCAGAAGGCTTACTTGAAGTTGCATACAGCGTTAGTGTACTGTGGAAGCTCTGTGTGCCGTAACCCGTTGATGCCATGATGGAGTTCGATGCCAAGGTCCATATCAACCTTCTCAGGCTGCATCCGTTTCACCTCGCCTGCCAAACCGAAGAGCTCATCCCCTTCCCCCCATTCCGGTTCGTCCACGAGGACCTCATGATACGCTGACTCATCGACTGCTTCGTCCACATCGGCGCAGTCTTGTGAGTCCCACTTGAACTGCGGGCCATAGTACCAGTCTTTATGGTTGCTTGCTAAGCCACCCGAACTGAGGTACTCTACCACTCCACTATCGGGGAAGGAGTTGAAGTCACCGCATATGAAGACGTTGGCCCCTTCGAATTTGTCCAGTTCGCGCTTGACGGCCATTGCTAGCAGGTGGGCCTGCAGAAGCCGCACGTGGGTGGCATTACGGTGAAAGAAGAGATGAGTGTTGCCAATTACAAACACATTGCCACTCTCCTGGCGATCACGCAATACCAGGACCTGCCCAGCTGTGCCGAGGTTATCAAAGACGTCAGCGAACATGTCCACTTGACCCCACTTATGCTGAAGTTCAGACAACTGTCCTTCACTAAGCTGAGCCTTCACACCAGTAGATGCCAAGTCCAGAGCGATCTCGTCCAACATCTCGAATCGATCATGTCTATATGCAATAGCGCAACCCTCTCCCTTGTTGCCGTTCTTCTCGACGAACCTCACAGTGTATTGCGGCAACACTTCACGAACGGTTTCGACAAACCTCGGCTCGGCCTCTTGGAAAGCGAATACGTCAGCCTTCACATCCATCAGCTCACGCATCAACAGCGGGCATCGATACTCCCATTCGAGCACCTCTCGACAGGACTTCACGTTACGATACATGACCTTAGTGGCCAAGGGCGTCCGAACATAACGCTGGGCGAGGACGTTGAAACTCGCCACCCGAATATGGTTCGGCGGTGTGACTCCTAGAGGCTTGGGTAGACGCCTGTCACGGAACGTTCCCTTGCTGGGTGACGGACGGACGGGCCGGCTCGGGTCAGATTCAGCTTGGGGGAGACTTCGACAATCGCTATGATAGGCTGAGACCAGCAGCTTCTTTCCTATGAGCTCTTCCCCAGGCGTGAAGATCCTGCCCGAATGGACGAGCTCCTCACTCTCAGTTGTTTTATATTCGTATACGACTTCTTCAGGAGTTGTGTTACTGCACTCTACCAGTGGAATTATGGGATACTCGGCGAAAACGAAGTACTTTAGGGCAACAGATGTAACCAGTGGGGGATTCAGAAAAACTGAGTAGACCTGAGAAGATGAGAAAATGCGGTTCGAAACTGCTAGTCTATTACGTGTTCATTGACAGTGATCTCCTTCGTGGATCGACTGAGCTCAGCAAGAGTTGTCGTGTTGACAGAGGAGTCCGTGGAGGCAAGCTTATTGCCTTCCTTATCCGACCATTGTATTCGGACCTGCAGCGGACGCCTCCCTAAGCCGTCTCCTCCCAATGTGTTGCCAATTACTTTGTTGCCATGCTCCGACTCGTCCACTGGTGGAGGCCCTTTCCTCTTCTTCAACTTCCGCTTGTCACCAATCCCATACGCCTTTTCCACACTCAATTGCATACGTCTTAATACCTGCATAACGTCCAATGCAATCCAACACTCATTATTCCCAACGAACCTGATCCATGGTATCCGATGAGTTCCTGTTGAATGTTAGTCTCTTGCCATTTACTCTCATCAGTATTACAACGCTGCTGCCGTCCTCCGATATAACCGCAGGGGATGATGCCTGGCATAAAGGGAGCATCCTATTCACTGTCTTGGGTGTATCTCCCATTACACATGATGATGTCCATTGATACCACGGCCCAACTCACTTTTGCGTCAACTGCTGTAGTTGTTGTTGTCATTGTAGCTAGTCTAGTTAATCCCAGAAGTCCAGAATGTGTGGGTGGGAAAATAAGCTGATTGAGGAGAACAGATGATGACGCTGTGGTGATGGAAGTTAGTTTTGTAGATGCTCTGCACGGTAGTGGACGTAAGAGTCGCGGCCAGGCCAGCTGCAGCAGCAGGATGGGGCGAGAGCAAAAAGCAAAGCTGCGAGTTGAAAACACAAGTGAAGGGTTTGCTCGCAAGGTGAGGGTGTTATGTGGACTTGAAATCGCGGAGTGACAGTCAACTCCCAAGGCGTGAAGGCCCTGATCAATGCTTCGACCATCTATTCCTGCCGGAGAAGTGTGGCTTGCAGTAGTAACGCGGATCGGATCTGCACTTCGGTCCCCGCTGGAATAATTCATTCGCTTAGGCTCCTGCTGACAGGGGCTGATATTCGTGGACCTTAGGAATCAACTCTTGGGTTCATTTGCTTCCTTGTTCTCTTGTATTGCTCGACATTCCTCAACTCGGGTAGACAGTGTTCCACCGTAATCGGCGGCGGTTTAGGACCTCCGGCTCGCGCAATAACGTGATCGATTATGGTGTTGTATGATGTTACTAACATCATGTTAGTCTCCCCACTAGCAGCAACAGGTCTGTTTCACGTCACTCCTAGCAGAACAAGGCAAGATAGACCTTCGAAAGGTGTTGTAGTATGTAGAAGACTTAACTCTGCCGTGCGAGCTCGTCCCAAACAGATGAGTCCGTTAAACTCAAGTACGCACGATTTCTTCTACAGATATTAGAGCACGACCTTAACAGTGGTCCATGATGGACCGTCCATCTACTTAACACGAATCGTGTCCTCTACACGGTCGAGGCTTGATTATATTAGGTACTGATCGGTTGCATGTGAGAAGCACTGCAACCACATGCTAGACTCTGCTGAACAGCAGGTGGATAAATGAGAGGATCCTTTCACGCCAGTCGGTCGATCATCAGTATACTCGTTAGTTTTGTTCGTCCGACCTGACACACGGTTCATGGTACACTATAGAGTATACCATGCACCGTGTGTTGGATGATGCCTGTTGCAAATTCTTTCATCCGAGTTGTGACCTGACTGTCCCAGATCTGAGCACTCGAGAACACGAGGAATGCGTTGCTCAACATCAACTCATTATTCACGCATGTTAGAATGGACATGCATCAGGTGTAAAGCATCTAGGAGCCGATCACAGCCTCCTTCACCGAGGTTCCTGCAACTTCTTGGGTCCTGTACCTGAATGCGTATAATGAACGGTTAACTCTTAGTGATGGTGGTCGGTAATTTGGACTTCGGGCTTTCGATTGTGAGACGCCGACTACTGTCTTTCACCTCCCTTGCTCGATGTCCATCTCCTCCCGCGGCGGCGTCTTGTCCACGAGCTTCTTCAGCAGGTAGATCTGTATGCCGCTGGCGATCAGACCGATTATACTGATCCCCAGAAGGAGTCCAACCAGTTTTACTGAGCAGCCCGCATCGTCCGCACCGACGCTGCCAGCTGGCGAATCTTCCGCAGCCTTGGGAGCACTGAGGATGGGACAAGTGAAATCGATGCGACAAGCCTTCATCCCTTACTCTTGCGTAGGGCTAGCAGTTGCTGGACTAGTCGTTCCCTCGATGACAGGGGTCGAGTTCAACTGCCCGACCGCCGGAGTGTAACTTCCTGGCGGCTCGAGGGTGATGCTCGACCAGTCGATACCAACTGCGGCTGGTGTGGATCTTGGATCGTCAAGCACGATGCCTGATAGATCCACACCAGCCGGGGTCGGTGTCGGAACTAGTGCAGGCTCGATAGTGATCTTGGTCCAGTCTATGTCGCCAAATGCCACGGCAGCAATAACGAGAATACTTGCGAAGGTTTGCATAGCAAGCTGAAAGTGTACTACAGGAAGTGAGCTGCAATGATAATCTAAATCACATGGCAATCCCGCACGACCGTCCTCCTTGTTTTTGCGACCCGTGATGCACGTTTCGTGCAAGTCGCAGCAGACAAGTGCTACCAAGGCTGCAAGGTGCACGGTGCTCAATTTCCATGCCGCCCTGGGTCTTCGGATCGTGAAAAAATTGAGCAGTGTTGAATCAGTACTCTTGCTAGAGATGTATCCACCGGTCTCGAGGGGAAGTCGGACACTTGGAACAGCATGTGGTCCAAGAACCGTTCCGAGGGGTACGAGATCCGTACATGCGTCTTACTTATCTACGAATCATAGACTCTGACACCTTATCCTCTTGATATACGGGCGCCATTATCAGTTATGGATCTTTAGTGGTGTTGGAAGTTGGCATTTATAATTTCTAACTCTGCAATGTCATGCTTTCACGATGGGAGTTTCACCGATGACATCTTCTTGATTTCCTTGAAGCGTACTGCGTTCAAGACTTGAGTAAGAAGTAGCAGGTCGCATTGACAAGCAATGATTTAGTGATTCATGTTATTCACGGTCCGCTCCCCACTGCTTGGGCATGCCTTACCGTCCGCCATAAATAGTGTTTACAATTAAGAAACGTGCATTGCGTCACGGTGAGCCATAGGCATAATCCCTCAGCGAACTTGGAGGGTATGTCATTTTATCTGAGGGATAATGCCATGTGAAAAGGTTAGGTCACTGACCACTTTACGAAGCACACTGCGGATTTGTGGGCGCTTCGGTCAGGCCGTTGTACACTCTGTGTATTGACGGACTCTGTACTACAAACTTTCTAGTACAAAGCCCAAGTTTTATCTTCATGTCAATCTCTGCGTAGCCTTCACAGGGCATTTTGCCACCATGACGGCGACTTGCGTGATGACTCCCCTACCACCGCATTTAAGGTCCCAAGTTCGATCGGTGCCGTCAGCAGTGGAGGAAGTTGCCGGATCGGTCGGAGTATACTAAAGGGCCTTTAGTAAAGGCTACACCACGCCAAGGTTACCTCAGAGGGGTATGTGGGTCCCACATTGTGGGAAGTCCTTGCTGAACGCACACATCATCATCATACACGTGCTAACATATTTCCTGACATGCGGGACGGTGGCACGTACCACAAGGGAAGTTCGAGAACCTAGGGGTACGAGCAGCGAGGGCACTCGGCGTGGGCCGGAACTTTTCCTGCGGGTCATTGGATTGGCAAGACTGTTGCAAGTGTAGTACACCTTTTAAAGACCTATTTCGCGTCAAGTAAGATTAGTTTCGGAGGACACACAAACATCCTCGCCAAGATAGGCCTGCGAAAGGTGTTGTAGTATGTAGAAGACTTAACTCTGCCGTGCGAGCTCGTCCCAAACAGGTGAGTCCGTTAAACTCAAGTACGCACGATTTCTTCTACAGATATTAGAGCACGACCTTAACAGTGGTCCATGATGGACCGTCCATCTACTTAACACGAATCGTGTCCTCTACACGGTCGAGGCTTGATTATATTAGGTACTGATCGGCTGCATGTGAGAAGCACTGCAACCACATGCTAGACTCTGCTGAACAGCAGGTGGATAAATGAGAGGATCCTTTCACGCCAGTCGGTCGATCATCAGTATACTCGTTAGTTTTGTTCGTCCGACCTGACACACGGTTCATGGTACACTATAGAGTATACCGTGAACCGTGTGTCGGATGATGCCTGTTGCAAATTCTTTCATCCGAGTTGTGACCTAACTGTCCCAGATCTGAACACTCGAGAACACGAGGAATGCGTTGCTCAACATCAACTCATTATTCACGCATGCTAGAATGGACATGCATCAGGTGTAAAGCATCTAGGAGCCGATCACAGCCTCCTTCACCGATGTTCCTGCAACTTCTTGGGTCCTGTACCTGAATGCGTATAATAAACGGTTAACTCTTAGTGATGCTGATCGGTAATTTGGACTTCGGGCTTTCGATTGTGAGACGCCGACTACTGTCTTTCACCTCCCTTGCTCGATGTCCATCTCCTCCCGCGGCGGCGTCTTGTCCACGAGCTTCTTCAGCAGGTAGATCTGTATGCCGCTGGCGATCAGACCGATTATACTGATCCCCAGAAGGAGTCCAACCAGTTCTACTGAGCAGCTTGCATCGTCCGCACCGACGCTGCCAGCTGGCGAATCTTCCGCAGCCTTGGGAGCACTGAGGATGGGACAAGTGAAATCGATGCGACAAGCCTTCATCCCTTACTCTTGCGTAGGGCTAGCAGTTGCTGGACTAGTCGTTCCCTTGATGACAGGGGTCGAGTTCAACTGCCCGACCGCCGGAGTGTAACTTCCTGGCGGCTCGAGGGTGATGCTCGACCAGTCGATACCAACTGCGGCTGGTGTGGATCTTGGATCGTCAAGCACGATGCCTGACAGATCCACACCAGCCGGGGTCGGTGTCGGAACTAGTGGAGGCTCGATAGTGATCTTGGTCCAGTCTATGTCGCCAAATGCCACGGCAGCAATAACGAGAATACTTGCGAAGGTTTGCATAGCAAACTGAAAGTGTAACTACAGGAAGTGAGCTGCAATGATAATCTAAATCACATGACAATCCCGCACGACCGTCCTCCTTGCTTTTGCGACCCGTGATGCACGTTTCGTGCAAGTCGCAGCAGACAAGTGCTACCAAGGCTGCAAGGTGCACGGTGCTCAATTTCCATGCCGCCCTGGGTCTTCGGATCGTGAAAAAATTAATATTCAACAGTGTTGAATCAGTACTCTTGCTGCAGATGTATCCACCGGTCTCGAGGGGAAGTCGGACACTTGGAACAGCATGTGGTCCAAGAACCGTTCCGAGGGGTACGAGATCCGTACATGCGTCTTACTTATCTACGAATCATAGACTATGACACCTTATCCTCTTGATATACGGGCGCCATAATGGCGCCGCCATTATCAGTTATGGATCTTAAGTGGTGTTGAGAGTTGGCATTTATAATTTCTAACTCTGCAATGTCATGCTTTCACGATGAGAGATTCACCGATGACATTTTCTTGATTTCATTAAAGCGTATTGCGTTCGAGACTTGACTGAGAAGTAGTAGGTCCCATTGACAGGCAATTATTTGGTGATTCAGGACCTGAATCACCAAATAATTGACCTGAATTTCAGGTTATTCACGGTCCGCTCCCCACTGCTTGGGCATGCCTTACTATCCGCCCTGAATAGTTTTTACAATTAAGAAACGTGCATTGCGTCACGGTGAGCCATAGGCATAATCCCTCAGCGAACTTGGAGGGTATGTCATTTTATCTGAGGGATAATGCCATGTGAAAAGGTTAGGGTGCCACTGGTCACTGATCAACTTACGAAGCACACTGCGGATTCGTGGGCGCTTCGGTCAGGCCGTTGTACACTCTGTGTATTGACGGACTCTATACTACGAAGCCCAAGTTTTATTTTCATGTCATGTTTATTTTCAAACCCGAACAACCCGAACCCGATTTCCCGGTATCCAGCGAGTTTCATTTGGACATAGCAGCCATTTTGCGGATGATGGGCTGCCACTACGAAATCGAGGTAGTTTAGCTGGTTGGGCTGTCTTCCAGGTTATCGTTGGTTGACTATGTAGCATTTTAGGACAAGGTCATGCCCTTCATACTGGACGTCACTATAACCGCGAACGAGGCAGCTCGGGTAAACTCAGAGGAGGCTGCTCGTGATGGCATCGAGAAAGAAGAGCGAGCTAGTCGCGTGGTGGAGTGGTTGAAAGCTCAACAGCGGTTGCAGTGTGTTAAGATCATGCTCATACTTACTGTCAGTTTCTGAACTCAGTGTTTCGTGAAGTCTGTTGGTCTTTACTTGGGTCGGATGATTCCGTATTGTAGGTCGATGCTTTCCATGTCGTTCGACAAGTCTGTAGGTAAAGTAGTGATTGTTGTCGTTCAGAGCCACTCTAGGTTGGGGGGTTGCAGCACTTGACGATCAGGAGGTGGATCGTTCTGTTGCAGCAGTTAAGCTCTTTGAGAATTAGTAGGGAGGAAGAGGCGACCACTGCAGATGCACACAGACAGCAGAGTTCCAAGGTTGCCATCTGCTGCCGATCATGTCAGGATGGACTACTCCCTGGGCTCTTCGTCAGAAGCACTCTGTTGAGCAGATCAGACTGCTGTTGCTGGATATATTGACTCTGATGGTGGGATAATCAATGATCCGATGGTAGGGTGAAGGGCGAGCTCTATTCCCTCTTTAGAGTGTATGCAGGTGAAGAATCGAGACACCAGTCCCAGCGGCCTCCAGAGGTGGAGTGCGTAGAACCCACATTTGCCATATTTTGCGTACCATCGTCGATTTTCGTGGCGCGCGGTAACTGTTGATGTGTCGGTCCGATATTGATACCATGACCACGCTGAATAGCGACTATCTTTCGTCCCAACTGTTATTGAGTTTTAGTCCAGGAGGGACTGTCGATCTAATAGGTCACTCTGGTTTGTAAGTCGATGTCGTCATCATGTCTGAGGGAATGTGTTGAAGATGAGGAGGAGGAGGAGGAGTTCACACCCCTCCACAAGGCTCGGCTACATGAGCCTACTGCTGTACGGGGCGTGGGAGTGGCTGATGATATTGGCGGTAGGCCTGACATGGAGGACTCCTTTGTGTTCGTGGATGGATTTGGCGGCAAGAGGAGCTCGGCATTCATGGCGATGTAGGCGGGGTGTGGTATGGCGATGGGCCGGAATTGTCAACGTCTATATCAAGTGGAAAATTAACCATAGAATCCATTTACGTTTCTGAATCGGAAATGCAGTAAGCTTAGATACGATGGGCATGGTGGGAGGCGATGTGTTGATTTTGTATGCAAACGGTTACACCAGAAGTTGCTGGAAAATTTGACGCTAGAGCCCCCTCCAGAGCAGGAAGAAGTGGAGAAGGGTGATAAGCCAGGCCCATCGCCGTGGTCGACTATGTCGTTCCAAACGGCGATGTCAACAGGTAGAGGTGCGCTGTTGTCGCTGATGTCGCAGTGTCGAATGCCAGGCTCAACCTTGGGTGCGTCTATTCCTGTTCGGCGACGATATATGTACGCCACGGAGGCTCTTGTTAATGCCTATACTCAGACTGACGAGGCATTTCGGAATGAGCTGCAGTCGTTGGAAGGCGGATGTATGGCAACTCATACCACTCCTCCTTCACTTTTTCTCTCTATAGGCACTGCTGTGACCTGTCTATTGCAATATGAGTTTGGTGGAGATAGGACTATTTATTGTGCTCATGTTGGTAAGGAGTCGAACGAGGCACTACTGATGACCAGCCGTAACGCCTTCAGGAGACTCAAGAGCTGTACTGTGCAGAGGACGGAAGGCACTACGACTGACTAGTGCTAGTGATCATAAGGCTACTGACCCAGTAGAAGTGGCACGAATTACTCAAAAAGGAGGCAAGGATTAATCGGGCTCATGCTGTGGCAGAGAGCTGTGGTGTCGACGCAGGTATAGTGGTGAATGACAGAGTTAATGGAATGCTGGCAATAGCCAGGGCCTTGGGAGACTTCCGCTTGAAACGAACGATATCAGCCCAGATGGTGGCGCGGGCGGCGGAGGCTCGAGAGAAGGGCGAGGAACTCCCTCCAATTCTTGGTAGTGCGTACTACTACTACTCCTGAGGGCGGAGCTTGGGTTAGCAGGTAACGTTACTGATATAGTATCTAACATACCGGATGTGTCCAGTATTGTCCTTAAGGAGACACTGGACCACTTCTTGATACTGGCTTGTGATGGGGTATGGGACGTCGTATCGGATCAGGAGGCGGTAGCCCAATGACTGTGGTAATTTCGTGGCGCGCGAAATGTGGCAGCAGGTTGATCTGATATTGGAGGTCTTATCGAAGCTCACCCAAGCTCAGCTGTCCATGGCAAAGAATGAGCAAAAGAAATGTCCTCTGCGATGCGGAAATGTGGCTCAGATAGCAGCCACGGCGCTGGTCAGTAGTTCTTCCATAGCAAGGGGTAGTGGTAGTGTCTGGCAGGTAGAGGAAGCCTTGAGTCGTGGTAGCATGGATAACGTTACTGTGATGATAGTACTATTGTAAGCTCTCATCATCGTCATCATCGTCATTACATGCTTATACACTTTAGCACGTACACTAATTATCCAGTACCACAATCACGTTGTTGAGCTCAGTATGGTCACAGTTCTTGTCATCTACCTTCGTGATTCTGAAGATACTCTCATTTTTTGCGGGGTGGATTGCCAAAAAAAGACTTCATTTCTTTGTACTGATGCTGTTGTGTAGAGTGAGGCGAGTATCCGATACACAGAATCGACGCGACTTAACTATCATCAGCAAATCACCTTCATTAACGTTCATAACAAGCGCGTGTAATAGATGCTATTTAAAAGCTTCAATGGGAAATTCCCTGTGAGAGCATCGCACTGATTCAGTAATGATCCCCGGCATATATATGACTAGAGAACAGTAACAGTAAGAGGAAGCTTTTGCTAGTGAGTCCCCTACCGGTATGATCAGGAAACGAACCTCGTGCTGGTCGGCACAGCTGGGTTAAAAGCGAAGTCTCGAAGGCTACCAAGTGTTCTCGGTGCTTCATAAGGAATGTTTCTGTGAGTTTAAAGTCCAACGCCTACAACAACACGGCTTAGTTAGACTCGCATCGCTGCACATTAGCTCCCAAGAGATCAGTTTTAGCCGTTTAAATTGTCTACTTTCATCGTGCCATTGAGTCTTGCCTCTGCCAATGTACTTCCTTTCCTCTGAAGAATGTTTGATTGTCACTATACCACCTCTACTCGGAAGTCATGGTGATTTTCCTCCAAAACCCGCCCCACCACGACTATATAGATAAGTTTGCACACGAATAGAAACAACATCCCTTGTCTGGTTCGAACAGGTGCTAGTGGCCAATCTGAGATTCCCAATAGATTTGCCCTTACAAGTCCGTATTTCATCGGATGTTAGTTACCACACTGTCAGTAAACTACAAAAATCCAAGCATTCTCTTTCTGCGGAAACCAGCAGATATAATTGTACACAATGCATTTGAATGGTAAGCATCAAGTTTAAGCAAAACATAATACAACGTCAAGAGCCACTCCCCAGTCAGTCAACGTCGGCCACGTCGAGCACGCCGATTTCCAGCATTCTGCGCTATGACGAAACTGCCCTGTACGTCGGCATCAGTAGCGCCCGATTTCTGGACTTGGGCTCGCATGCTTAAGTACTGCTTTAAATCATTGATTTGCTCTCGAAGGTCGGCCTTCTCATCGTGGAGCTTCTTCGTCCGAACCTGTACAGTGATACCCCATACCCTCTACACTGAGCTGTTGAATGATACTCACCGTCGAAGCTATTTGTCGCCGTTGCAGATCTTTCTTCAGCCGAGCCACTTCTTCACGAAGTTGTCGTCTTTTGTCGTCCAAATCGCTGCAATCAACACGTAACCTGACATGAACACCTCCCAGGCCCTCCGTGCCGCAGAGCTCACCGTTCCAATGAAGCCTTGATATCCTCTTCCTCTGACCTAAGCTGAGCTTTGTCTTCCTCAACACTATCGAGCTCATCCTTAGCATCGCAGAGTCTCGACAGTACTTCATCACGTTGACCAGTGGCATTGGAGTAGCTGACGTCAACACACTGCCAACAGGCACGGGTTGGATCGCGCGGACCTCTCTCTATTTCGTGCGCGAATTTCCTCAAATATTTCCTCGTAATGTTGCTGCTGCGACTCCTGCAGGGTAGCATACACCTCGTTGAACTCGGACATGATATTTTCCTCGTCTCCTTGCAGTATTTTCTTCGCAACATGTTTGACCTTCTTACACGAATCTACCACGGCAACTACTGAGTACTTTCCCCCAGTGTGGGAAAATATGCACATGGTCAACCACGTGTGTTGGTGACAATATAGAGGTTCTGAGAAAATTTTGGGAGATTCTCATTAGTTTCCAAATTTGTACGTAAACTCTTTAGTTAGTGAGGAAACTCAGCCGAGGAGAGCAACATATATTCCATCACTGAATTCCCCCGCCTTTCCTGAGCACCTTTGCTATCATCGCTGCCCTCACCGTCGGCACAGCCATCTTGAGAGGCCCTGCCTGTGAGCCCAACGTAGCCGCCTTCAGAGAAATCAAACACCGACTGAGTGGAGACCTGACAAGCAAAATTAACAGCGAATTCAACGACCTTGAGTACCTGCATGGCAAAGGCGTGATCAGACTCCAGGAAGTGGGCATATGCATGAGTATAGTGGTGGCGGTCATCCGCCAAGAAGGTTTCCTCGATTAAGCTTGGATACCCTTGAGTGTCACAACCTAGAACAACCCCACTATTCTCCCCTGCATGACGATAATGCATTACAGCCTATAAAGCCACAGACTAGACAAACCATCAACTTCATCGCATCCGCCTCCCCACACACGTCACAGCTACTACATCTGAGAAAAAGAGATATGCAAAAGAAATCTTTACAAAGTAGTCCCACCGTGACGGGTATTGCTGGAAGCGACATACTGGACATGACCTGTCACACCATTTCGAGAGGCACTTCCAATGGAAACTGTGACCGCATAATATCGTCAATGCAACTCCACCGCCTCCACAGGATGCCTGCCCGCCAGTCGAAGTCGCACTGGGAGAGTACCTTGAAGCTCACGAGGTGACTAAGGAGGAATATTGTGTTTTTTACAATAGTGGATCGAGACATATACTGCATTGATGGTCTTTGGTGAGAACTGGCGCGAAGAGCTGTACCGGTGCTAAGACGTCATCTACGGATTTCGAGATGGCGCCATCAATACGGCAACCAGTGACCTCCAGCAAGGGCAGGGAACTACCTAAGTCGCCACGTGATGGCTATGCGGACACAGAAGAGTGCTACTGGCTCCTCCGACAAGCTGCCTGGCGTTGGCGTGGGAATCTGACCCTCCTACTAGGACTAGGAGTAGATAAGACTCAGGGTAGGGCCCATGCAGGACCTGATGACCAGGAAAGGGGAATATCTAATGCTATTATATTTCCGCCATTGGTATGCGGAGAGAGAGCTACATATACTATAATAATGAGCAAGCAACTTTTGGACGCTTTGATTGACGAGCTCTACTTGAAAGCCATATCCCCCTATGTCGAGGAACTTTGCAGCTGTATGAACTAAGTCTGATTAAGCCTTAAGCAGGCATCGGACTATAATCACAACAATAACTATTGTTTTATCATGTTGGATTATACCTCTATGTTATTTTACTCTAATAATAGCACATCGTATTTATTACTTTAAAGGAGGATATATGATACATAATATGTTTATAAACTATGGTAATGTATAGTGATGTTGTTGGAGGTCATTCGATGTAGGAGCACGATGTAAATCCTCCCTTACTAACCTTATACTGCTCAACTCCAGCCTGATAGGACTCCCATATTGCCACGACCTCTGTAGGAGGAGTGTCCTTTGGCACTGACGGGCACAATAAGACAGTTGGTTCGAAGCCGTCATAGTCCACCGACACACCACCACCAGCAGCAGCAGTAGATGATGATGATGACGACGACGATGAGGACCGCCCCGTCTTAGTATTAAAGTCAAAGTCGTGGACGTAGATCAACCCTGAGACCTTCGAAGATATCATCACTTTGGTCAATTTCTCTAAGGCTCACCCGTGCTCATGTGAACGCTAGGGTTGCCAGCCCAGAACTCGTATTTCTCGGTAATAGTCATTGAAGGCGCGTGTTGTTGGTGATGATGATAGTCACGTGAATGGGAACCTGCGTGACAAGGATTCAATTACTCATAAGATGCGTATTGTTACTTGCTGATTGACTACGTTGTCGAGTGTTGGTGAGTAGAGCGGGATCCAACGACATTCCAGAGGAGGTTGGAGGTGGAGAGGACGAGGATGGTACTGATCTAGACGGCATTATATGATGATCATGAAGCTGTAGCATTCAGGTCTCTACTAGGCAGTGTAGGAGGATATGTACATGTAGTATGCTCAACTACATGTGTTGGTGACAATATGAAATTTCCTGAGAATTTCTTGTTGGTTTCCGAGCACTTCTACCATAATTCGTGTGCAAACTTGAGTAAACAATGAGGAAACTCCTAAGCTCAGCCGCAGAAAGCAAACGTATATTCCACTACTACTTGTTGATATGCACCTCATTAACGCATATTTCGCAGTTCTCAGAAAAATGAGTTCAGTCGGGAAATCTCATAGTCCCAACATATGACTCAATTCCGTCGTAAGTTGGTCCCCGAAACTGATCGGAATTGGGATTACTTTAACGGTGCTAATGGAATCGATCATCCTATTACAGTTGCAAGATCAAAGCTACAATCACTGGGAGGGAAGTAGTCCTTTGAAAAATGATTTTTCAAAAATCTAGTTATGGCCGTATGTCGCCCTTGCTGGGACAAGGTTCACTGCCTCGTCAACTCGGCACGCCATCTCCCGTAGTGGTTGTATGCTACATCGTCAACTTCAGCTCCCCTTGAGGGTCCGCTCATTTGCCACCTCCATCAAACTCGCCAGTGGCAAAGAGCCCTACCAAGGTGGAATGTTTGAACGTGGCTAGCGAGAAAGAGAATATGGAGAGGGACCGGGAATCGAACCTGCGACCTGATTCCTCATTCTACAATGAGGAAATAAATCCGGCCGGCGGGCCTCCTGTCACCAACGACCGGGCCTGCTGACACCAAAGAACTCCAACGGCCTCCCACGGCCTCCCACTATCTCCCACTTTCTCCCACTTTCTCCCACACGCGACCTACGGTCGCGGCGATGTCTAAGGGGGTGCGCGGCCTACGGCCGCGCCGGGTTCGCTTTGTTATAGGCCTGGCACCGACGATACCCACCGCTTTTGCCTCCATGTTGGTTGCGTCGCGCCCCGCGCATTTTCTCGCATTTTTCGTGCATTTGAATATCTCATGAAAGACTGTGGTCCAATCCTTTTAATCTGCCTTTTTCCCATATAGTGAGTTTCAGGCTCTATTTTCACCATAGATCCAAGGAGCTTCCCATCCCACAAATATATGCTAGTCTGAGGACCCATAAGGCAGCACAACGGTTGCCTAACTCATAATGTTAAGCTATGATAGCTGTTCGTCTGAGGCGGGAATTTCGCTCAAAACCTCGAATGATAGGTTTCGAGGGTATTCGTGCGTTTGAAGGAAGGTTGGACACTATGCTGTAGCTGAAGACTATCACAGAAGACGGTTAGATGTAGGTTAGAAAACGAGGTAAATTTCGGAGTTAGGATAGTCGAGTTGGAGTGGAAGAAATCTCTCTAGCTCGGTTCCTTATCCAGTTCAGTTTGTATCCTCTCTAAGAATGGCAGAAACTTTCTTTCAGAAATGGCGCAGCTCTCGCAAACGGTGGCAGTTTGCTGTTCTCGTACAATAAGGATGTGCTTGTGTTCGACCACACATTGCGACAATGCGAGGTGTGCTGGATCGACAAGATGGATAATTACCTAGTACTGAGCACCTTACTCTTGGATTTCTGCATTGCTCTCTCCCATAATGGGATGTTGTCGATTCAGAACCCGCCGTGGTTGTGGTGGATGTGGTATCATGATGGCTTGGGAATATACAGGGTGATGGAAAAAAGGGCCTACCCCTCGAAATTTGTCAGCGTATGTGTATATCAGATTAACTCTGGTACTATTTTGAGAGTCTCGACGAGCTCTCTTCAGTGGTAGCTGAACCAATTCCAGATTTCTCATACTCGAGAAGTCATGACGATATGGAGAGAGCCGTGTATGGGGAAAAGTGCTGGCAGATACCATCTCGGAAGTGTTTCCGTGGTCTATCGATGGTCCAACTTCAGCGATGTTCAACGATATTTCAGATACTGAAAAAGTGCTTCCGTCAGCATCTCTCTCTATATACGGCTTTTCCCGTCTCGTCATAACTCAGCAAGTGTTGAGGTTATGCGTGCAGGTTCGTAGCCGTTTCACTTTACAGCTACATTTCCCCGTGCGGAATTCGTCTTTTTGTGATATGCTATTGAGTTTCTGCCGCTTTATCGGGAGCAGTGTGGTCCGAGTTTGTAATATTGCTATGTCGTAAGTCGTTCTCAAGTCCGAACACGGAACACTTTCCTTCACAAGATTTTTAGCTCTCGCCGATTGTCCTGAATACTCTGAATATTAGGGTTATGCATATGAAGGGCTGCTCCTTGATGGATAGAGTTATCACGGTCGTTGCAGAATTCAACCATGGTTACAGCCTACTACACCATCTCAAGAACTAGTTAGTTAAAACCAAGACCAAATTAATATTTTCCAGAGCAAAGTATTGAAAGCCCAGAACGATTTCGTCACCTAGACTAATGGAACCGAAAACCCCATTGACTTTGCCGCAGTGATACTTGATTCCGGAATTGCAACCCGATTAGTTTATATGATATAGTTGAGACACTGCTGAGGGTCTATGCCTCGGCTCCAGATCACCAAACACAATTACCGATACTCTACAAGTGATACTTGATTCCGGAAGTGCAACCCGATGAGTGTATATGATATAGTTGAGACACTGCTGAGGATCTACCACTCGGCTCCAGATCATCAAACACAATTACCGATACTCTAGCAGTGATACTTGATTCCGGAATTGCAACCCGATAAGTTTATATGATATAGTTGAGACACTGCTGAGGGTCTATGCCTCGGCTCCAGATCACCAAACACAATTACCGATACTCTACAAGTGATGCTTGATTCCGGAAGTGCAACCCGATGAGTGTATATGATATAGTTGAGACACTGCTGAGGATCTACGACTCGGCTCCAGATCACCAAACACAATTACCGATACACTAGCAGTGATACTTGATTCCGGAATTGCAGCCCGATTAGTGTATATGATATAGTTGAGACACTGCGAAGGGTCGATGGCTCGGCTCCAGATCACCAAGCACAATTACCGATACTCTACAAGTGATACTTGATTCCGGAATTGCAACTCGATTAGTGTATATGATATAGTTGAGACACTGCTGAGGGTCTATGACTCGGCTTCAGATCACCAAACACAATTACCGATACTCTACAAGTGATACTTGATTCCGGAAGTGCAACCCGATGAGTGTATATGATATAGTTGAGACACTGCTGAGGGTCTATGACTCGGCTCCAGATCACCAAACACAATTACCGATGCTCTAGTAGTGATGCTTGATTCCGGAATTGCAACCCGATGAGTGTATATGATATAGTTGAGACACTGCTGAGGATCTATGACTCGGCTCCAGATCACCAAACACAATTACCGATACACTAGCAGTGATACTTGATTCCGGAATTGCAGCCCGATTAGTGTATATGATATAGTTGAGACACTGCTGAGGGTCTATGCCTCGGCTCCAGATCACCAAACACAATTACCGATACTCTACAAGTGATACTTGATTCCGGAATTGCAACCCGATGAGTGTATATGATATAGTTGAGACACTGCTGAGGGTCTATGCCTCGGCTCCAGATCACCAAACACAAATACCGATACTCTAGCAGTGATACTTGATTCCGGAATAGCAACCCGATGAGTGTATATGATATAGTTGAGACACTGCTGAGGGTCTATGACTCGGCTTCAGATCACCAAACACAATTACCGATGCTCTACAAGTGATACTTGATTCCGGAATTGCAACCCGATGAGTGTATATGATATAGTTGAGACACTGCTGAGGGTCTATGGCTCGGCTTCAGATCACCAAACACAATTACCGATACTCTAGCAGTGATACTTGATTCCGGAATAGCAACCCGATGAGTGTATATGATATAGTTGAGACACTGCTGAGGGTCTATGACTCGGCTTCAGATCACCAAACACAATTACCGATGCTCTACAAGTGATACTTGATTCCGGAATTGCAACCCGATGAGTGTATATGATATAGTTGAGACACTGCTGAGGGTCTATGGCTCGGCTTCAGATCACCAAACACAATTACCGATGCTCTACAAGTGATACTTGATTCCGGATTTGCAACCCGATGAGTGTATATGATATAGTTGAGACACTGCTGAGGGTCTATGGCTCGGCTCCAGATCACCAAACACAATTACCGATACTCTAGCAGCGATGCTTGATTCCGGAATTGCAACCCGACTAGTGTATATGATATAGTTGAGACATTGCTGAGGGTCTATGACTCGGCTCCAGATCACCAAACACAATTACCGATACTCTACAAGTGATACTTGATTCCGGAAGTGCAACCCGATGAGTGTATATGATAAAATTGAGACACTGCTGAGGGTCTATGACTCGGCTCCAGATCACCAAACACAAT